AAAAAAATATGCCGTTGAGGTATTTCAACGGCTATTTTCTCTCTTCAGAAATATGTCCCGTCTATCATTTATACATCATTTGATGTAGAATTTAATTCTGCATTCAATGATGTATAACTCAATGACGGGAGATATTTCTGAAGAGAGAACCATTCGTTCCGAATGTCGGCAGAAGGAGAAAAATATATGCCATTGTTGGATTTTAAAGGCTTTTTTTGTCGCTTCAAAAATATCTCCCAAATATGAGTGATACAACATTTGATGTAGTATTTAATTCTGCATCGCATGATGCATAAGTGATGGATGGGTTATATTTATGAGGTGAGAAGCAGTGGGTTCAAAACGGGAACAAGGTTAAAATATATGTCTTTGATATATTGGAATGGCTATTTTCTCACTCCATGTATATGACATTTAAGTGAGTTGTAAACTATTTGTGGTTGCGTTGATTTATGTGGAAGATGATGGTTTTTTTTTATTTTTGTACGGGACTGGTTAAGCATTGAACTATTACGCATTGTTGGTGAAAATTTGAATGGTTTTTTTTCTTTTCTCTTTGATGGTATCGTTTAATTTAATCGGTTTGATTGCATTGCGATTCGTTTGATTAGTTGTTTTATCGTTTTCGTTTTATTGTTATGGGTTGTTAATTGGTGTCGAAGCTGGAATGTATATAAATTAGGGATGCGCAGTGGTGAATCAAAATTTTTCTTTATTCTAAAAAATAATCTGATTATGTCAATTGTTGCTTTTTTTTTGTTTTGTATGATAGTTGGGGTGTGGGCAAGGGTAGGTAAAATTTGTAGAAAAAGTTGAATAACTTTTTAATTTTTGTTGTAGGCGGTGCCGTTGCCGTTGCCATACGAATCTTACGATGAGTATGAGGCTGCAGTTGCTGTGACTACAGATTCTTATGTTGGTACTGCTCCTATAACAACATTGGATCCAGTTGAAGGCGGAAAGAGATCGAGTACTCAGGTCGTGAATTGGATGGATTTGTTTTCGGGAGGACTCAATGTTGTTATAGGGGTCTTATCATCATGTGGGTTTGTAGTCACATGTTTCTGTGGCACAAAGTTTATTCGGAATGGTTGTGTTTGTAAGGTAAAATATCGTTTGAATTGTAAATATAGTTCTATGATTGGTATAATTTTATTTCAGGGGTCGTGGTGGTATCCGAAGTCTATGTCGGAATATAAACAACGTAGACTTATGAAAGAAAGTATGTAAAAAGAATTGTTGTTTAACCCTAGTAGTACCAATTGGGTCATTTTTGACGCATACTTTAAAATTTGGAAAATACAGTGAAAATATTTTGTTATTTTTTTTCTTTTTATTCTTGACTGTATGCTACAGTCACTATGATATACATATATGTCGTTGAAGAAGCACGAATAAGTTTATTCTCATCTCTTCTAAATTTTCGCTCAAGAACCTCGACCAATTTACATAAAGATATTCAAAATGCGTTAGCTGTCGTTGGCTATCCTGTGATACAGGAAGAAGCACAAAAAGCAAATGAAAATTTTATTTAACCCAATAGAAAACGATGTTTAATTTGTCATTATTCTAGAGATAGAAAAAATTTAAATAAATGTTATAAATGTTCAGAATTTGTTTGTAACGAGATTCTGTAAAAACGTATTTTTTGTATTAATTGTTCCAAATAAAGAAAGATCATCATTTTGATAATTTCTTTATCAAATCGAATATGAAAATAGAACATTTGAGCGAAAGGATTGATGCAAAAATAAAATAATCACGTTACAAAATTGTATGCTACCAGTAAAGTGCTAAAAAAGGCTAGATAATACTAGAATTAATAAAAAGTAATTGTTTTTCTTTAGAAAAGAAGGGTATGTGTATGGAAATGGCTGTTATTGAGCAGTCTGAATTTTTATCATCAACACCTGCATTATGATCAGCATGCATCAATAAAGACATGTACATTTTTTAAATAGATTTTTTTTTATATTTAATTTATGTTGTTTTTTTTTCTTATTCAATTAATGTAGTTTTTCTTTTCTTTAATAAAATGTTGTTGAAAGAAAGAAAGAAAGAATTTATTTTTTTTCTCTAATTTGCAAGATGAATCGATTCGAGTCAGTGCACTATATCTATATAAAAGTCAAGATAACATAAAATGAATTTGTGTTTTACAACTTTGCTACGGTAGAGATATATATGATTTATTATAATCTTGTTGATTGACAACTTATGCTGAGGATTATTAATATACATCAATATTACTCAAATAAGAAGTCAGTTTTAAGTATGATTGTTTTCAATAGTATCGTCTGTCGTTTTTAATCATTCTTCTTGTTTAGTAGATTAATGTTTACTCATTTTGTTACGCATTGGATAAATTGTTCAATTTTTTTCCTCTGTTTCGTTCTGTTTTCTTTTCTACCATACGAAGAGAAAGCAAAATTATAGTAGAAAAAAGTAACTTATTTCAGAAAGGAACTGTTGTTTTTCTTAATCAGATCTTTACATCATGTATATTTACAATCGAATAATGGGGATATCAATAGTTTGAAATCTGAAGAAAAAAAAATTGTCATTCAATAATAAAGATATCGCTTGAAAAAATAAATGTGATATGAAGCTGGCTACTGTTTATTGTTGTGTATCTATTTTTGCCTCTTTATATTGAAAGAGAGAAATAATGATTGACCGTTTCTATATTATTCTTTTCTTCATAAAAGACAATAAGGCAGAAGATAAAGGAGAAAAAAAGGTTAAAAAGTAAAAGGAAAAAAAGATGAGTCAATAACGTTTATGTTGGTAGTGTTATTTTTTAGAGAGAAATGAAAGTGTTGAAATCAATCAAAGTAATGAGTAAACATGTAATATTGATATATTTGATACACATTGATTCTCAAAAAAAAACAATGCACAAATAAAGCTCATTATGTTTACAGTCATCAAGTGATAAGAATTTTAGATAAGAACTACATTTATTAGAATAAAAGAATCGAAACTCAGTATCAAAAATTAAAGTAGATTATTGAACATAATGTTAACTGTTGAATCGATTTTCTTCTAGAGAATGATGATGAAATTACTATTATCAAAGATAAATAAAACATCAATCAAGCATCCAAGTTATTTAATCATTTCAGCAGCATATAGAATGTATAGATGCCATTGATAGAGAGTAAACTTGGATTTTACATTGAATCTGCGTATAATCTGCCCAACTGGTCTTTCGAAGGAGATTTCGACACCTCGATTTTTCACTGTCGATGTCTCCTGGGATACCCATCGCCGAGCTCTCGACCCATCGGAAAATGGCACTTCGAGCTCTCGATTTGAAATTCCGATGGGTATAGCTCGTGCCTCAGAATTGTACCACGATAGACGTTTCAAAGTTTCGGTCTCGTGCTTTTGCTGACCATCAATTAACTTACCATCAGACTCTGGACCCATTGGAAGTTCAAATCGAGAGCTCGAAGTGCCATTTTCCAATGGGTCGAGGGCTCAGCGCACCCATCGCATGTCTTTTTCGGCTCGTTTGGGTGGTATGTTTTAGGAAACACAAGTTATTTTTTTTAAGCATCACTTTAGTATTGATACAAGGTTGACAAGTAATTAACTTATTGTATTTTAAAGATAGATCTAGCCATTGTTTGTAGTTGCCGACAATGAATAAATAAATATTGAACCTTACACTTTCTTTTTCTTATCTTATAGATGTACTTGTTGAAAAATTTTCTCTTCTGTGCATGATCACTACTATATGTTTGAAGGGTGGCAACAATTTTTTTAATACTTTTTATCAATTGAACGTCTCGAATACATCCTTATCATATTATTTTATTCCGTGAAAAATGAAAAAAAAGATGTACACTTTTATTAAACCTACAATGTTTCTATTTTTTTTTCTATTTTACAAAGCGTTATTATCAAAATGAACAATAAAATTGTCTATACGATATAATAACAAATGTATCAACTAAAAGATATTCTACTAAGTCAATTACATTATATTTCTCGTATAACATCTCTTTGAATTCTATTTATTTCTGTTTGAACTTTTTCGATTTGTTTATGAAGTTTGGTTTTGATGATTTTTATGACGAATAGTATCACACTTAGTAGAGTAAAACAGAGTAATGAGAGTAAATAACTACCAAATTCCTTAAAAATTTTTTTAATCCATGGTTGATCGATGTCAATATCAAGTTGTAACTCCATAAATACGTTCTTAGCGGCTGCTTTATAAATAGACATGATTCGATTAGTTATGTTATTAAAGCGTATGATGGAAAGCGACTGTTGATTCAGAGTATTATTAACTTTGCCGGTTAATGTAATAGTAGTATTAGCACATGCAGTTGACGGCAATAGGATGTTTGAGCATCGTACTGGTCTATCACATGGTAATGTTACAATCATCGGTTCGTTAATTGATATAATATCAGATATTGGACTTGATAGTGATTGTGGTTCACATTCGAAAAGTTCGCCTCTCGGATAGGCATACCATATGTTATTCTTGATATTGAGAATATTAGGTTGGATATTGTTTGATGTTTCACTTCACACTTGCTCATAGATAACGGTCTGCTATCAAATAATTCATTGAGACATGGTAAAGCAGATAATGGAATGTTAATAGGATAATTACGACATTGAACGATTTTAGATAAAGTACAAGTGTTCAACAAGTCGTCATCGTTCCACAATATCACTTTTTTATTAATATTATTAAAACCAAAAATCGCCGGCAAATCAGAATAGACATATATTTTTCCTTTAAAGAATACTGGTAACGGTGTTAAACGATATACTTGATAAATAGATGAACTTTCTACCGGCAGTCGTCGAATAATTGTTGATACGGCAAGACATGCAGGACCGGATCGTAAATGTTCATTTTTTTGCATCGAACAAGATTTCAACGCGTATACAGTTTGTCCAACAATCATATCAGTTAACATATTTAAGTTTTCTTTGATATTTTTGATGTCAAGTGTTTCATTGTTCGTTGAAACAATTAATGCTAAAATATCTTTGATTTGTTCATCAGTTAAAAAATCATAACCAACTTTATTGTTGAATACTTGTTCAACAACTAGCGTTGCTGGATTAATTGCACGAGGTATAAGTGCTAATTGAGTAATATTAATAGGAAAAGTAGGTGCCGTTATGGATTTAGTCGTACTACGTGTTACATAAAAATGATTATCAATGAAATAGATAATTGATTTCGATTTTCCAATAAACTTATCGACTTTATGATATAAAAAAATTCGTCGAATATCTTCTTGAATAATATGAGAAATATTTTCTCTATTATATGATGTTGATAGTGTATTAACATGCGGTAAAATTGTTCCAACTTCAACAATATCAGGACTTGCCGATTGAATATATTCACAAACATCAGAGGTTGGCGAATCGATACATAAATTGTTATATGGTATAAATATGTGAAAAATTGATTCTTGATATTTTTCAGCATATACACCAATTTTGTGAAGAGCAATACCTTTGTCAACATCGATGATAATAGTCGTTGATGATAAACATCTTGCTATGATGAATTTGTCGATTACAAATATAATCAACAATATTGTTTTATATGGAGTTATCATGACTTTTTATGTTTTCTAAAAAGAATGGAGAAAACAGTTTCAAATTCACCAATATGAATAGCTATGATGAAACATATATATAGGATAACACATGTCTTTTGATTCTTTTTTTTTCTATTCTCTCTTTCTTCCTCTGTATATATTGATCTCACTTCACACAATCACATAATAGGAATCGGAATGAAAATTTTTAAAAAAATAAGATATTTATACAAATCTAAGAAAAATATCATACGAGCAGCGCATGTAACTAATATTGATTTCGAAAAAAGTAGACAAAACTGCTCACTGATGTGAATTTTGTAGAATGATTTATATATTAGTCATGGTCAAACATATAGATAAGTACAGATCGATAGCGTGGTCACTTTAATTACTTTCTCTCAAGTTGGATGTTATCTACTCTTTAGTTGTAGAGCGAAAGTACACAATTCTTTTAACTTAATCATTCAAGATCAGTAATTTTCATCTTTACTACAGAATGAAATATATTTTAGTAAATACTTGCAAAAAAAGATAGGCACAAGTAGACTGAACACTTAGTACAATCTTAACATACTAGATAACTTTATACTTAAGTAGTTACTGATATCGAACAGTGTATAAATACGATTGTATATACTGCAAAATGAACTGTTCCTAGAAACACTTTGTTGTAGCTCACATATATCATGTGTGACATTATAGTGTGATAAAAGTTGTATGAGATTTTAAAGTGACTATGTATTTAACGAGTAAGAAACTAGAAATAATTTACTTTATTTAATAGATTTTTATTTTGTTGAATGGTTAATACAATTCTGTGTACTATAAATATTTCAGATTATGCCGTTGAAAGCTAGAATCGACGAAAAAGCTTTTCAAAAAGCAATTCAATCACTGTGTATCGATGAAATTGCTTTATTAGACTGTTCTAAATCAACAGCTGATATATGGGATCATCTGTGTACATTGATGGGTAAAGCAAAGAACGCTCAAAATCGCCGAGCGTGTTATGATGCATGGAAAAACAAGCGATTTAAATCGCAAGATATTAACAATACTATGTTGCAAGTATGTGTTCTGAAGTGTAACATTATTGTGTATAATAAGTATTGTTTATATAGCTACAGGAAACACAACAATGTACTAATAACACTGCTAATCGACATGATGTTCTTGAAATAGATGACGTAAGTGATCATAAGCCGATGAGTATAGGAGTATAACATCATTTGAGACAAGTCATTTTATAATATTTTTTTTTTCATTGTCTTATATTATATTAGACACAACGCTTTGACATGATTATACCTTCTAATGTTCCTCAACAAATCTCATCAGGTTCAACTATTAATGGTTTTACTGAAAATAATGACAAAATAAAAAAAATATCTGTAAGTGATGTCAGTGAATCAATTAATTTGTTATAAAGATAAAGATTTTTTTTTATTTTTCTCTCTCTCTCTTTCTCGTTCTCTTTCTCTTTCTCTTCCTCTTGAATTAATGATGTTCTTCTTTTCACTGTATGCATCAATAGGAGCGGAAGAAAAGAAAAAAAGTTATCCGTTTATACATTTCTCTTTCTCTTTCTCTATGTATATATCTGCTTAATGGAAACATATATGATGAAAGCTATCACCAAAAATAGGTGACGACGAAATATTGATCAATGAGATGATCGATAATGTTTGTTTTGCAAGAAACGATCAAATTGTTATGAAATAGTATGAGCTAAGAGGATTTTATAAAAATTGAATTGTGCCAGACTATTATGTTGCTCTTAGAAAAAAATATCATTGATTTGGATTGGAGTCTATATAAGCAGTAACAAAAAATATTGCATATTCATTATTACAATTAGTGAGAACAGAGAAACCATGTATGAACCAAAATATGATAGAATCAAATATAGCATTAAGATAAAAATGAAGTTAAAGTACTTCTACATCGTGCTAGTTGAATAAAATATCGAGTCTATATTTTTCTGGAGACTAAAAAAAATTGTGAATCATATTTTAACTTTATTATATTATTAGTGCGCATCTCTTACTAAAACAACGGAGCAAAATCAACAGTTCTTGAAACATCTAAGAAAATTTTTAAATCAACAGCATAAGAATATTTCTCTTACATACGCTCATGATCTTAATTCAACATGTTGTTCTGGTGACATCGTAGCTATTCAAGTTTTATGCAAATGTGTAGAGTCATCTAATTGTATGTACGATGAAAACAACATCTGTTCAAATATTTATGTATCAAATACTGTAAGTTGATGATAAAGTCTCAAAATCACGTCTATCTCATTTTTAGATCGATGTTCAACAATCCAATACTGAAGCAGCTGTAAGAAACAATTTAAATGATGTCCAATTAGAACCAGTAATAGACAATAATCGAAATCTTAGCGTATATCGAATTTATTTTTCATAACTCTGCTTTATTTTTTTCTTTATCTAGAATGAAGACGATACATCGTCAAATAACATTAATAATACAAGTGTGGCAGTGTCACCTACTTCTAGTCCTCTTCATTTGTTTATGTCACCAACATCATCAGTAATTTCTTTGATAAATAACTATTTTACCAGAATGATTTTTTTTTCTAGTCATCGGTTATAAATTCACCAACAAGCAACGATATTGATTCGACAGCTAAAAATTCTAACAATGTGAATGTTGTATCTCGTCTGTTTGCACTAGCCAAAGTAAGAAACTCATAGCGAAGTTTTCTATTAGTAGTTCTGTGATCAAGGGGGAAACGGCGGATTTTTGGGATTGCCAATCCTTGAAAATCCATAAAAAATCCGTAAAATCCCAGAAATCCGTAAAAAATCCCTGAAATACAATTAAAATACGAAAATCCAGAAAAAATCCCAAAAATCCATAAAAAATCCCTGAAATACAATAAAAATCCATGAAATACATTATTTAAGTCAGTCGCATATGACGAACATGTTGTTTTGTTTGATATCGATGAAGTCATGCTTTTATATATTTCACTTTAAAAAATTGCTATTTGTTAGATAAAATGTGTCTAAAACATAATAATCTTACCAGATACTCTGAAAGCTAGAATGTAGAACGCCTTGTGACAGTGTGTATAAAGACAACAGAGCAAGGGGAAAAAGCGGATTTGGGATTTTATAGATTCTAAAATCTAAAAAAGATTTGTTTTTGATTTTACGCGATTTTTTTGGGATTCTTCGGAATTTTTGGATATTTTTTTAGATTCCTGAAATTTTCTTTTCGAACTTTTAAACTTCTCCTTTCTTGTCTATCATTCGAATGCCGTATTTCCTATTGTAAAACAACGTTCTATAACCACCAGATACATTATTTGGAATAATTTGGTTGTCGTCTCTCATTCACCACAGTGGCATTCTTCAAGGATTTTGACTAGGCACCTCGTCAAAGTGCATGTAAAAAGGTGTCGCAAAACGTTCAAAGTGTGCTACTTTTTAGGGCTATTCTATGGGGTACTCATAGTTCCTCATGCCCTATCCTATGGGTCACTCATAGTTCCTCATGGACTATCTTATGGGTACCCATAAGTCCTCAAGCGCTGTCCTATGGGGGTGCCCATAAGTCCTCTTGCCCTATCCAACGGGGCACCTATAGGTCCTCATACCCTATTGTATGGGTACCCATAAGTTCTCATGGCTTATCTTATGGAATATCCATAAGTGCTTATGGCCTATTCTATGCAGTTATCATAAGTCATCATCGCCTGTCCTATGAAGGTACTCATAGGTCCTCGAGTGCTTTCCTGTGGAGCTACCCATAAATCTTCAAGCGATTTCCATGAGCAGCACCCGTAAGCTCCCAACGGCTATCGAGGTTTGGTATCGTTAACTTTTCAAGGACTGGTTTGCAGTAGTTCTGGTTACTCTTCAAAGGTTATCCCATGGAAGAGTGCCGAGTACTGCTGACTGTTCAGGAGATATCTAGCGTTAGTCGTCACAGGTTTTCAAGGGTTTTTAATCACAGGACTTGGCAGACAATAATAAGGATGCTACTCGTACGTCATCTAGTAGCTGAAGTTGAATGTGGTACGGGACTGGTGTAAGGGTAATGTAAGAATCGTGTACCTGATTTTTGCTTAAAGAAGTAAAAGTGGACTGTTCTTCTTAGCTCAGCATCATTGAGTCACCTAAAGGAGTAGTTTTACTTCACAATTAGTATTACGTCGACGAGATTGCGTTTCACAAGTTTGGGTCAATTTTGAGTTACTTTTTTATCAAAGATCGGTTCAACGTTTGGTTCATGACACGTTCAGCTCCACGGCTTCCGAGAGCTCAATCGAAGAGGTGCTAGAGAGTAGCATCTCATGTGAACGAGAGCTGGCTGATCATCTCCACCACGGCAAACTGAACTGGGGCTCTCGCACACTTATAAGCGCCACTGTAAGGCAGCCGTTGCGGATCTATGGGTACCGCCATAGAATAGGTCATGAGAACTTATGGTGGCTCCCATAGGATAGCCCTTGAAGACTTGTGGGTACCCTATAGGACAGGCTATGAGGACCTCTGGGTACCCTCATAGGATAGCCCTTGAAGAATTATGGATACTCCTATAGGATAGCCCTTGAGGACCTATGAGTACCCCCATAGAACAGCAGTTAAGGACTTACGGGTACTCTCATAGGATAGCCATTGAGGACTTAAAACTGCCTATTTATGTTCGAAACACTTGAGAATATGATCGAAAAATATTGCTGAAAACTACTTTCGATTTTGGATTTTCGGGTTTTTTGGGATTTCTTGAGATTTCTTGGGATTTTTTTGAATTTTCTCGGGATTCCAATCCAAAATAATCCGCTTTTTCCCCTTTGTAGGTAGATAGTTTTGTTCTTTCTTTTTCATTTTTTCTGATTTTTGTTGTTTTTCTTTGCTGTTTTTTCCTATAAAATACGATAAACTAATGTCCTCTGAAGTCCCAGTTGGTGTGATAACAATCATAAAAAGTGACGTGTCTAGGTAACTGACGATGACAGATTTATTTTTTACTATGACTCAACCTATTGTCTCTCATTATAAGATTCTGTGCAAAACCTCTGAAGTACGACAAAAATCCTGAAAATCCTGTAAAAATCCATGCAATCCCGTAAAAATCCATGAAATCTCGTGAAAATCCAGAAATCCCACGAAAATCCTAAAATCTTCTGGAAATCTTCTGGCAATCCGCAAAATCCTAAAAATACGAAAGAAATCCTAAAAATACGGAAAAAATCCTGAAAATCCCGAAAATACGCAATCCGCCGTTTCCCCCTTGTCTGTGATTCTTCTGTTATCGATATTCTTATAATGTGTTTATAATTGTTTATTCGAAATATTAGTCGTGAAAATTGTTCAAATAGAATAGAGATAATTAGTGATAACTAATTTTATTCTTATCTTGCTTGTGTTTTAACGATTATTTGCATTGATTTGAATGGCATTTTTTTTCAACAATATCCATATATTTTTTTCTTATTTAGAATGCTCTAGGTCCTACAAAAACGACTGATCATACTGTCATCACTGATGAATACAAAAATGTACTTACATTTTTACAACGTCAAAATGGAGATTCGTCAACTTTTGGTTGTGATATTGATGAAATTCAACAAATTGAAAAAGCAAAAGCAATTGTTATTTCTCAAAATGATATGGATAAATTTAAACAATTTCGAGAAGACTATTTACAGAAGAAGACTCAAAAGAACACAACAACAGATACATTCGATGATCTTAATACACGAGACAAAAAAAGAAATCTCGAATGGACTATTCTTTTAGATCGTTACATAAAGCAATCTAATGACTATTGTGTATTCGTTTATGAACGTCACCATTTTACTAATCGAACAAACATTGGTAATACAGATCGATTCTTCATGAGTGCCGATGCTCATTGCAAATTTAACTTATGTACATGTGAATTTCATGCCATTATAAGTGAAAATGGTCGACTAGAAGTTGATTATTCTGGCAAAATTGTACACAAAAAAGGTGAATGTCGTGCTCGACCAATACGTGGCTCTCGTCGTGAAGAATTACAGCAATTTACTATGCTTGGTGCTACACCAGGTGCACTTCATCTGCAACAACTTAAATCAATGTCAACAGCTAATAAAGAAGCAGGAAATAGAAATGTTGCCGGATCTAGTCGTTCAGTAATACGTAAAATATCAAGTGAAGCTAATGTTAAATTACGTCGAGACGATGATTTAGATAAAAGTCTTCGTGAATTAAAAGTTGAACAAGCAAAGAAAATTTTTCCTGGTGAAGTTATACCTGGATATTTACAAGAAATAAGTATTGATCCATTACGATTAATTTGTTTTACCGCTGGAGGTATAGCTGCTTACCATCACTTCGCTTCTAGTATGCCATTATCATGGGATGCAACAGGCGGAATCATAATTAATTATAGTAAACGGATCTTTTATTATGAATTAACGATGTCCAGTCTTCAAAAAGGTGGTTCATCATTTCCGATTACGGCAATGGTTAGTGCATCTCATGGTACTATGGATATTGTTCATTGGATGAATTGTTTTATTGAAAAATATAAACAAGTCTACGGTTTTTCCAATCAATTCCCGAAACCACCTATTATTCATTGTGATCGTGCATTAGTTTTTCTTCTTGCTAGTATTCAAGTCTTCAATGGTGATGAAACTATGGATCGTTATATTGAGCGATGCTGGCGAATTATTCAACGAACAGCTACCAAACGTGACTTAGAAATAACAGTTGTACATGCATGTCTTGGTCATTTTATGAAAAACGTCAAACGGAATGCATCAAAAGTCTTAGGCAAGAAGCAGGTACTATATATAGATATAAATAACTCGATGAAAGACATTAATACTTAAAAAAAAAGCAATTCATTCAATTTTTTTTTGTTTCTCTTTTAGGTCTCACTTGGTATGTGGTTCATGGCATTACTTGTTAACAGTAATACATTGGATGAAATGGTAATTGTTTGGCGAAACATCTGCATTGTTCTTCTAAGTACTAATCAAAATGATCAATTTAAAATATCATTATCAACACTATCCAAAATGGCTGACCAGATGAATGGTGATCCAGAGAAGACAAATTTTGTTCTTCAAGGTGTATCAGTGACTACGAAGGGACAAATTTCTAGTAATATGAATGCAGATGTAAGTAATCATATATCGAATAAGACATACAATATTTTTTGTTTAAAATCAAAATATTAATAGTTAATATTTTGTTATATTTTGTAAAATTTTTGAATCACTATCATTACGTATAGCAGTGATATAGACTAAATTACAAAACAATAATTCAAATAGTTATTTTCTATAATTCAATAGCAAGAATATAATTCTTCGAGAAATTATTCAAATATTAGTTTAATTGTCTTCATCATCTATTCTGTAATGCTAGAAAATTAAAATAGATAATAGAACATTGCGATGAATTATTGAACATTTTTAAGAAAATGAACATATCGATTGTTTTATCTAACCGATATTTTTTTTTCGAATTTCTTTAGAACAACGATGATACTACACATGATGTTGGAACTGACGAAGACGATCCTCTCTATATAGAATCATCATTCAAGACATTATTTATCACAATCTATCAACAGTGTAAAGATTTATTAAAGATTTATGATGCTTCAGAATGGAAAGATCTACCGGCTAATCCATTATTTTCAGTAGCATATTTATCTCGTATTCTTAAATTATACATGCCAACAGCACCTATTTGGAGCAATCTTCTTCTCCGTAATTTTGCTCAACGTTATGGATATTCTTTAGAATCGGTGATATCACCATGTTCATGTCATTTTGGTCGAACAACTGGCGTTTCTGAATCACAAATGCGAGTATTAAAAGAAGCAATACTTAGTAAAAAGATTTATACAAGAGTCGATGAAGTTATTAGCAAATTAGGAGAAACAATTGAAGCAGTGGAAATTCAGTTTGCCGATTTTATATTAATAAAAAAAACAAAAAGTCGATTATTGCCTGCGAACAAACAGAAAAAAATTGAAGAACCATGGGACAAACGTAAGAAGACCGTAAAACCTGCTACAGGTGTATATACGTCCATGAAGCCATCGATAAATATCATGGCTATGGTGAATACACGTTTGTTGGGTCGAAATGATGATGCTAATTTAGGTAATTATATTAGAGATAGGTTGAAATTCGACAGGCAACAAACAAAGAACACTTCGACTCTTTGATGACTAAGGAGAAATCAAAATAAACAGATAATCGAATAATATTTTTTTACTCAGAGATAATTTTTATGTTAAATATTGAATAAGAATATTCTACTTAATAGAGTAAATGAAACAAAAAAAAGCTACTTCAAAATTATTCTTTTTTTTTCAAATAATCATTATTCCGTTTTTGTTGTAGACATTGGACAACTTCCATTATTCATACGATTCGAAAATGCTGGTAATACTTGTTGGTTTAATAGTATATTTCAAATGTTATTAGCATCTGGTCATATTGTTGAAACAATACGCAAATTTCATATTATTGATGATGATTTAGTACCGTGTAAAGTTATGATTTTAAGCAGGATATTAAACGCATTCATATCTAAATCAATCAATTGTCATGCGGATGGAAGAAAGGCTATTATAAATAAAAGTTTTATTAAAGATCAGTTTGGATTTCTGCGTTGGGCTGGCTTTAATGTTGAAACCTATAAACAATACTGTGTGTTTGATTTCTTTCAAATAGCAATCGTACCGATGCTTTCATTCTATGATATTGATTTTCAATATGTATTAGATAAATCTATGCAATGTTCTTCCTGTAAAGAAATAATTTCAGTTACTCGACAAACATGGGATTGTCTTCTCGTAAATCAATCAACAAATGAAGAGACTATTGATAGTATTATGGCTAATCTATTTGGTCCAGTATTGGATATGCAGTTATGTCTTAAATGTTTAAAAAATGATCTTCATTCTACATCAATGTCAATATTAAATTGTCCGAAACATCTTTTTCTTCGATTTGATCCACTCGTGACCAAAAATCGGAAACGACCTAAATTAACAGCACATGTAGATTTTGCAAAAATTTTATCAAATAATGTTATATACACTCGTTCATATTCACGTTATACATTACAATCATTTATTGTATTCAATGGTACAGATAATGCTGGACATTATATGACATATGCTCGATCCAAACAAGACTGGTATCGTCTCAATGATACAAATACTACATTAGTGGAATCGTCAAATATTTTTGAAGATCAAGATGAAAATTACTCAGTTATGATGGCTCATTTTACTCGACCATCTGAACTCGATGTATTTTCATCGGCATTATGGAATGTTTTCACAAATTTTTCACCAATAAATGTATCATTAACACCACATTTATCATTGAACGATGCTGCAAATTATTTTGCAAAACATTATCTCATCGAAAATAATCCACTTAACTTAGTTGTTGTTAAATTTTTCAATTGTTCAATTTGTAAAACAGGTAAAATACAATTATTGGTTGGTAGTAGGTTTCTTTTATGATTCTATTTATATAAGAAAAATTTTTTGGAAAGTAGACAATTATCATTTTCTGTTTGATATTTAAATATAGCTGGAATGTTGTCTTATGAGATTAGGGGAAAAGTTTTTTTTCCGATTATTTTGATACGAATTTATTTCAAAAGGTATAATTGATTCTTGTATAAATAAGACTCGTTTTATTATTATTTCATCGAAAATAATATTAATATGAAGATTATTTATTTTGTTTTTTTTTTGTTTTAGAAACTTTTACTATTGCTCGAATGCATGAAATTTGGGAAATGAAAAAAGATGCATTACATGTTACTTATAAAATGAATTCTTTTATGTACGAAGAAATCAAATGTTCTTCTTGTAACACATCAGGATTGACTAATTTTGTTTTATATCATATACCACGATTTCTTCTATTGAAAACTGAAAGTGTTGATAGAGATTGTATCAATTTAATTGATGATATAGATCAAATTCGTATTCGACCATCTGATACACATTTACCATTCGACTATCATGCGCAGACATTCTTACTTGTACTTGAAGAAGATGATGTAGTTTATCTTAGAAAAACTACCAACGGCTATTCATCTTTGAATAAAACTACCGGTCAGTTTGTAGAATTGCGTGATTTATCAATATATGAAACAGGTCTAGCATCACGTTGGACAATATTCGTTTATGAAACTGATGAAGATGTCTTCTATCCATCATTAATCGATAAAATAACTTTCGATCAAAGTAGTTTAGCAGAAGGTATGGAACCAGATATATGGACTATCGATACTGTTCAAGATCTTTTACCAACATTTACTGATATTTTAAAAGTCGGCCCAATACAAATCAAAAAAGATGATATTAAAGTATTGCTGGATAATGATGGTAATATTAACGATTTGATTATAGATGCTCATTTATTTATTACTGCAACTAAAGCACCATTTCACAAACGAGTTTTAGCTCTGGAAACTTATACAATATCTGAAATTATTGAGAAGAAACTAAAACACATTAAAAAATCATGGTTTGATTATGATATTATTTTATGTCCAATCAATCAGAAACGTCATTGGTATTTAGTAATAATTGATCTAGAACAAAATTTAATAATTCAATATGATTCATTGCCAACACATGATATACCACGCCGACAAAACCTTCAACATCTTATACATATGATAAATATTCATCATTTCTTGAAAACTGGAACTGATATAGATTTTCATGATAGTTGGAAACTAAGTGAACCAAGTGAAGATTTCGACTTATATCAAAACGATCAACATTCATGTGGAGTCCATCTTTTAACACAAGCTAAAGCATATATTAATCGTGAACAACATAAACCTATTCCACAAGATGAACTCAACTTATACAGACATCAAATAGCTGAAGACCTACTTCGAAAAGCAGAACCAATTTCCGATGATAGTATATCAGATGTGAGTATAAGTCATTTCCATATATAATAATGTGCAGTCTGAATTCTATTCTATAGATATCCGACATAGTCCTCCCAAACACAAAACAACGCACCAAAAAAAACAAACAAAAACACCAAAACAAAAACAAAACGAAAACGGAATAGCAAAAACGACTTTATTCATTATAAATAAAATAAAATAAAATAAAATAAAATAAAAACGAAATGTTAAAACTAGCATCATACACAATGCTCACATACTATATCATTTTCACGTTCCACTACCAAAAAAAGACTGCTCTCAAATAAACCGAAACATATATCTGATCTTGAAAACAATAAAAAGTTTAAAGAATAACTCCATATCACCCGCACTAAACACATATCTAACCTATCCAAACAACGCATGGCCTGCTCCTACACATATAAAAATGCGAAAGGACCCATGACTCAAACGCATGCAATAGTTTTTTTAACCAAGAATAATGCAAACACCACCATAAAAACTCTAAAACCAGTTATAAACAAGCAATGTTCAGCTACCAAAAGCGCTACATTACTCACGAAAAATAAGAATTTCCTAGCTCCCACGAAACCATAGACGTAGTGAAAATCCATCCTACTCTAGCAAGAACCTCCGTATTCAGCAATATTCATCCTACAACAGAAAATTATATACAGATTCTCAAAAGCATGACCCGAATCAAACTCAAAACATAGCCAAATTACTTCCCATCTCATCTGTTGCCAACAGATTTCTCCGCACCGAAAAACACCTACCAGACTAGTCGCACTTAAAATATAATATTAACTAAATCCCAACATAGAATAAATTTCTCTCGAAACTGTACCAACAATACTAAAATCAAATCATGCAAACCATATGCAACTCCTCTCAAAATCTAATTCACTAATATCTCTTTTCACCTTCACCCATATGAATCCATAACAGTCAAACCCTTTTTCACCTTGCCTAACAAAATTTCTGATTCCTTATTTGACTCACATACAATCTGCCATTTCTAACTACATTCTACATGACACAGTACAAACACAATTAAAGGATTCAATCCAGCGTTTCACATAGTACCCCTACTTGCATATTTTACCTCTGAACCATCCGCCCTGACATCACCAACTTACTTTTCTTTCAAACTTTCTCCTATCTTCTTATATCTATACGCATAATTCATCATATATTAAATGTATAAAAATGGAAACCAAAATCAGAGTCCCACATCCACCCATGCAGAATTGAACTTTACATTAAATGATGTATAAGTGATGGACGGGACATATTTTCGAAGAGAGAAAATAGCCATTGAAATACCTCAGCGGCATAATTTTTTTCCATTGTACCGATATTCGGAACGAATGGTGCTCTCTTCCAAAATATGTCCCGTCATTGAGTTATACATCATTGAATGCAGAATTAAATTCTACATCAAATGATGTATAAATGATAGACGGGACCTATTTTCGAAGAGAGAAAATAGCCGTTGAAATACCTCAACGGCATATTTTTCTACCCTCGTACCGATATTCGGAACGAATGGTGCTCTCCTCCAAAATATGTCCCGTCATTGAGTTATACATCGTTGAATGCAGAATTAAATTCTACATCAAATGATGTATAAATGATGGACGGGACATATTTTTGAAGAGAGAAAATAGCCGTTGAAATACCACAACGCATATTTTTTTTCCATTGTACTGATATTCGGAACGAATGGTGCTCTCTTCCGAAATATGTCCCGTCATTGAGTTATACATCGTTGAATGCAGAATTAAATTCTACATCAAATGATGTATAAGTGATGGACGGGACATATTTTTGAAGAGTGAAAATAGCCGTTGAAATACCACAACGGCATATTTTATTTCCACCGTACCGATATTCGGAACGAATGGTGCTCTCTTCCGAAATATGTCCCGTCATTGAGTTATACATCATTGAATGCAGAATTAAATTCTACATCAAATGATGTATAAGTGATGGACGGGACATATTTCTGAA